TTAAATGACAGAGACCATCATCATTATATAACGTCAGCCAACGATGCAGACTGTGAAAAGACTACATTCTTGGTTTGAGTTACTTAAAGAACCCATAAAAATGACCAGAACATTGAAGCAACAGCCTAAATACACATTAAATATATATTTTTATCCAAAATATAACAACCTAGGCGAGACACGCACACATCTCCCATTATTTCAGATACATTTCAATACAGAGAGAGCAGGGCTTCAGCTTTAGCTAGACAGCCAAACGGCTGAGACCGAGGAAGCTTGCCTTCCTGCTCTACAGCTCTGATCCAGCATCCTAACATGAGGTGCTATCCAGCTGGGAGCAACAGAGTACAGCTTTTGGGTCAGGGCTTCTCTGACCTGAATCTTTGAACAGGCCCCTTGAAACATGGGCCTATCATCGCAGCCTTTCATTTATTTCCCCTCACTCACCAATTTTAGGTCAAACCTGGCAACTTTTTCTGGGTAATCTTGTGAACACGGGGGAGTAAGAGAGTTGTGTTTGAGCTTTTTGTGTTTCTTTTTTTTTTTTTTTTTTTTTTTTAAATGGCAAGGAGGCTATAGATCACCTGTAGTACGATCACCTGTTCGATTCACAAGACGCACACGTGTAAGCACCCAAATGCATTTCACTTTTGTGGATTTGCCAAGTGGCTTTTCATTGGCAGCATTGAACGAACATGTCCTAGTCACTTGTCATCATCAGGAATATCATGTGTTGTGAAACAGTATGGATCTATTTCACCTGACAGGAAATCTTTGGGAGTGGCCGATGAACTAAATCACCGGCTTACTAGCTATCAATCAATGCCGAATTAACGGTTGTGCATCACCATTGCACCAGGCTCCAAGAACAATCTGGGTAATGTATACATGGATGGATTTTCCTCCATCGTTCATACACAAAGATGCACAAACACAACCCAATACTGCAAATAGTGAAATCGGCAGTTGGAGTTAGAAACCAGCCGGCCCTTTGCCGACTCTAAAACAGCGAGACCAGCTAGATGCTGGCTCCAATGCCTGGTAGGCACAGGAAACCCAAAACAAGAACTCTCCAGCATATAGATAAAAGCAGAGAGACCTAAAGAGAGAAAGAGAACGCAAGACACAACATCACGCAGAGCTTTTTATCAGCTGAGCAGTCAATATGAAAGTCACTGAAGCACAAATGATTTCACTCTCTAAACGTCAACCAAAGGAATCAAGGAGCCTACACATCAACCTCCATCGCTTAGCCTGTCAATATCCAAGTCTAGCATGAAAAAACAAAAAACAAAACTGGGATTTACGCTGGATTAGCATGCAGTGTTTTCCAGACAATAGGCCTCTATTTCACTAATCAACAGCCTTCAGGAACAAAGTAAAGGCAAAGCAAGGCAGTGTTTTCCAAAGCATTAAGGAACAGAGCGGTGATTCAGCCTGTGTTAAGTCAGTGCACTGGCAAAAACACAAATTAAACATATTCAGCTTTGTCAAACAAAGCTACACGATTTTGAAATGCAAGAAGGCTGTGACTGCAAATCCCAGCGTGATGGAGACATTCAAGTTCTACATTTTAATAAGGGTTTTAATAAGTGCTACCTCAGTCTCTAGGCCATCGTGACACAGATTAGAGCCTCGTGAAGCTAATATAGGATATAATACAGCCTAACAGTGCATGGAGTTCAACTTAGTGTTTGACAGAAAGTAAAGCTGAATGGGAATTCTGAGAGAGTAAATGCACACATATACCAAATACAAATCCAGAATCCACAATGCAAATGTTCCACCTTCTGCATCTATTGTATGTTTCTTGCCCTCATCCTGTCATCCCATGGCTACCAGAGCTGTTCATAGGATGTTTTAGGGAAGAAATCTAGTGAAAGTTGTGAAACACAGCTTCTCAGATCCTCCATAGATGCTAAAATGAGACCAGTTCGGCCCTGTAGCTAACTGCAAAGACACCACCGTGTTAGCCAAAACTTTTAGCCATTAAGAGCACGTTTTGTGTTGGGGTAAACAACACACATGTAAATAAAGGCTGAGAAAGTCCAACTGAGAAGTAGCTTCAGTCAAGTTTATATCATGCATAATGATACAATCATTAGCCATGTGTCCATGTTGTTCATGCTAATTAGCCACATGGAGGTGTTCAGGATGTTAATCCGGTGAGCACTGTGGTGTTTAAATATTCTTCATGTAAAGCGTGAACTAGAGTTGCATCAGGATAACAGGGTTTGTCTGTCTGTCATGATCAAATCATCGTGAAATCAAAACAAATTATGAGTCTTTCCTTAGTCTTCCCACCACCTTCCAGAATGAACTAAATCTTGGATTTTAGGCTCATTGACTACATAGAACCGTAGACAGTGCACTGGGCAGGTTGGGCCAAAACCTGGATTCCATACTTTTGATGCTTCAGCCCCGATAAGAACACTCAATATTTCAAGACTGCTTCAGGCCCCATCTTACACCTGACAAAGAAATCGTCATATGGTCTACAAGTACTGAGTAAACACGCTTGCTCTTCTGTGACAAGGGAATATATAGAATATGCATCCCACTATTTGTACTGCATCACTGCAAAAGAGTATATGTGACTTGTTGTATGCAAGCTGCACAGTAACATGAAGGTGGAGTTTGAAAGCCAGAGTGGGACAGGAGTTAGAATGCTACCTTTGGGCCACGTGAACGTGTGAGTAAGAGCTGACGGGGCTTTGGCTGTGTAGAGGATTAGATCAGAAAGCCAACCAGAATTACTGAGGTGGCCATGTGTGTGTGTTTATGTGTATATGTCAGGACAGGGCCTAATCACTTAATGAACATGGAAAAGCACAACTCCTCTGAGCAGGATCGCCAGATCTACCAGAGGGCTTCCGCTTTCTCCCCTCCAATAATACCAGCAAACCATAGCCTGGGAAAGCTCACAGAGGACTTTGCTCATTGGACAGTCTCAGCTGTCACTTGCGGTTAAGACCAGCCCATTGGGTGCACTCAGTTGCCAGGCCAACCCTTTCCGTGGGGCCTGGGAAAAAGATCTGACAGATTAACAAATGGTAAATGGGAGAATGGGATATTAGGCAGTGTCATTAATCTGAATAGGTTTGGCGTGGACTAGCACCACAGATGCCAATAACCAAATGAATTTTCTAACAGAGAACATGGACAAACACATAACGCTGGGCCTGGTTATTTCAGTGCATATGAGCCCCGAGATGTAATTGAAAAACCAGAGCAAAAGCATTCAAACTAAATGACTGTTATTCAATTAGAAAAACCTGTCTGACTGAAAAATGTTTTAAAAAGTAAAAACCTTTTGATAAATTCAGCCCAAGTAAGTTTGATAAAAGTTATACCTTGCAAGCTGACCTGTAACTTGCATACTCCATACTAGACTTCAGAGGAGAGTACGAAACGTTCATCGAAATCTGCCCCAGCATTCACATGAATACACACTGTGCCATAGATTACAGAGACAACATATGATTAAAGATCCAGCCATGGAACCAGCTCTGCACCATCATAAACACACATTAGGGACTCCTGAGAGCCTTTTAAAAGTGAGTGAGGGGTTCCTGTAAACACAAATGATAAAATAGATAGGTGTCAGGAGGATGTGAATACTGCGTGTATTATTAGGTTGTTTTAAAAATCAACTGCTGCATAAACTTTAACTACGACTAATAGATCATATGGAAATCATTATGCATCGCACTGTGCTGGTTAACTAACTTTTATTGAATCCACCTGTGGGCGTCATGGTGCGAAACATGACTCGTTCAAATATCTTCTACAGTTAAAGAGGGATTATGAAGACGTGCTCCCTCCCCCCTCAGACCCACTAATGAACAGTGAGCGCTGGTCAGGTGACTAAGTGGTCATTTTAAGAAAGCATACTGTCTGAGAGCGCGCACAAACATTTGCACATACACACAGGGTTGCTCAGCATGACCAGCTGGACGGGCTAGGGGAACTAACGCCTATTGTAGCCATTTTAGACAACAGATGGGAAGAAAAATCTACAGAGAGATAGTGAAAGAGCAGAAGAAAAAGTCCCACTGCCTCTCTCATTCTAAGTGCTGCTGAGCTTACAGAGCATGCTGCATCACTCCTGCTATTTCTGCCTACACAGGGCTGTGCCTGCCTCTCCTTTCACATGGCTCCACTGGCTGCATGTACTTGATGGCAGAGGATTCTCACCGTTCAACAGGGGGACGTACTGGACAGTGATGTGCTACTGGCTTGTGGGCTACTCATCACCTAGCGTGAAATATTATGGAATCGAGACCTGCTGATTGGAGAGAGCATGTGCCATGCAACTTTAGAAACTGCAGTGTCATTGCTGTCTAGGCTCAGATAAAGCATGTGACTCTTATAGGAAGCCCAGTCGCATCTCCTGGCTGGGGGTGTATGAATATACATCAGCGTGGCTCTTATTTCCCAGCTCTGTGAACAGCTCATCTGTCAAGGTGGGACATGTTACTCCGTAACGGAGGAAACCCACGTATTGCAACCAGAGCCTATAGGAGAAACGCCTGCCTCCCCCATGCGTGCCTGCGGACTAAGAATAGATCAATGTATCAGGCAAATCGGGATTAACGGGCGTTGTGCTCCAATCACAGAGCACACACACGCACACACATACAAACAGGGGAGCCAAAACACAAAAAGTTCATTTTCATTGCCCATCACACTGTCATCATTTCTGCTGCTGAACGGCTTCCACGCTGCTGCTCCTTAATTCACACACACACAGTCTAACGCCAACGCACAGCCAATAAAACAATGTAAAGCAACATCCTGTGTGAACAATGATTATGTCAGACCGCTGGCGAAACAACCCTCCAAATTCCCCACAAGGCTGGGCAGGTGTTTGTAACTAAGCGGTTAGTTATTTATCACCTGCAGACACCCAGCCGGCCAAATTTCAACTCGCTGCGGAGCGCTCCGAAAATAAATTGTGCAATTAGAGAGGATGCCGCGAGCAAGCTGTCCCAACTAACCTGTCTGTCCTTTTCCGAGCGTCTTCTCCAAACGGTAAGGTCCCACGTAATTGGCGTGTTGGGCACCGCTGTTGTCTTTACCGGATGATGACATGTCGAATCTGTGTGAAAATTAGACACTTTATAATAAAGCGCAGACAATTAAAGAGTCCTGGCAGGAGGTCCAAGCCGCCGTTGTCTTTCTTTTAACTCCACAGCCTCTCGTCTTCCTCTCGCTCTCTGACTCTTTTCCCTACCTCACTCGCTGTTAGAGGAGGTGAGGCTCTCTTTTCTGTCCTCTTTTCTCCTATCGCTGCAGACGAGCCGCAAGTGCCTTGAATATCATTGTGGGTGAAAGCTGCGCTGCCGCTGTGCGTCTGTGGGAGGTGCTGCCGAGTACTCGTGGATGATTGACAGTCGATACAACCAACCAGAGCACCGGATCCCCTCCTCTGCCGCCCCGTTTCTTGTTGCTGGAGGATTTTTGCTTTTTCTAGAAGAGCTGCAGGTTGTGATCTTAAAGAGTTTAATCCCGAATGAACAGTTCATTAAAAGCAAGGTAAGTGCCTAATAGCATGTAAAGCATAAGCCGCAAAATTTAAATGCCCCCGTGAATGTGCCCATCAACTGAAGTCTTTTTAAAAAATAAGAAATATAATGTAAATCTTCAACTTAAGCCCAAGATTTACATCTACTGTTAAGGAGCTTCTCTGATCAAGTTCATTTGAAATTCTTCAAATATTTGTATGTTTACTCTCTGTCGTGCAATAAAAACCCTTTATCCATGATTATTCAAATATGTCTCACTTTCATTCAAATACTCCACTCAAGTATGCAAATATGCTGAAAAGAAAAGCTTAAAAAACTGATTTCAAGTTTTCTCCTTACAGGTCACAAAAGGTCACTTGCACCCGCACATCTTAAATTCAGATTTATGGTAAGCACCGAGAAGCTTTTCACCTTAGGCAGATGAATGAGATCATTTTTGCTATCTACAAAAGGAAGCTGAAATATCCAAGTGAAATAAAAATTAGCGAAAGAATTGTACCCTGTTGTGTTTTATGGTTTCTCACAGGCAAACCCGTGCAAGCAGTACACCGGTGTTATATTAAAGCTAGACATAAATTCATTTGGGGTCATTCAAACACAAATTTATTTATGAATTTGCACCATGTGAGCATAATGTGGGGGAAAAAATCCATAAAACAAGATTTTAGGGCTGACTTATGAGGTTCAAATTCCCTAATGACACTGAAATTAATCAAAATAACAAAAGCAGTTGTGACTCTGGTTCTTGCAGGGTCTGAAGTCCTGAGACTGTTACACATTTGCCTTTCCCAGTCTTGTCGACAATAAAGACTGAACGAAAATGAAATGCCAAAGCTACACCGCAGTTAGTCCAAACGGCATCTCTCATGAGAAAGCGTTACAGCGCTGATAAATATTTATACTGACTTTATTAACTGAGGACCTATTAATGCAGCTAAAACCACAATGTAGGAGTTTCTTGTCTCTACCTCCCCTTCTTCCCTTTCTTTCAGTGTCCTTTCTCTCCTTTTATGCTCCTCTGTCTCTCGCAAGCGCGCATACACGCCACGCAACACACACCCACACAGCGAGTCGAGTGTGTGCAGCAGTGGGAGAGTGTGTTGGCCCTGTGATTCATTTCACACCCCACTGGTCTGAGACCTGTGACTGTGGCTCTGGCCTCTGTCTGTTCCTCACACCCTGAGAGAGTACAGGTGTCAGGGGACACATGCAGGAGAAACACACGCACATATATTCATGCACATGCACACGCACAAACACAACCGTGACCTCTAGTTACTTTTTTTCCTTTTCCTTTTTTTTTTTTTGAACAAAACAAGGTTGAGGAGGCTGCTGAAATATTTAAGCAGCAAGAATTGCATCAACACCACACTGGAGGTTACTTCAAAGATAAGGATATTCCAGAAAGATTCACAGGCTTTCCTCTGAATATGCTCAATAATGCAGACTCTACTGAATCATGGTCACTGCTTTTCAATTATTGACTCAATAAGAAATTAAACTGTTACGCTGCTGCATCTTTGTGCATGTTTGCATGAATTTGACCATAAAACAGACCTTTTATGCTGTATTTTTATATCCTCTTACAAGATGGATGCTTGTATTAAACATAGGCAAAATTTCAAACAGTGAGGTCAGCAGATTTGCAAGTAACTCTCTGAGTAAAAAGCTCAGGCCTCGGACTGCTGCAACCACTCAGTTTCAGTTAGTTTTTTCTTAGTTTTGCATTATGTCAGTTGTAGGTTACATCCTTAACATGGTCACGTTAGGTACACAGCTCAGGCACACAGCTCAGGAACCCCTCCGCTGCTGTTCAGACTCTCTGGAAGGACCAGCCGGTCAGAGAAAAGTTGACTTAAATGGAGGGGGTAAGGTTGCAACCGCACCGAAACCCAGTGCAAGACAAACAAGCATTATTTTAAACTGTAAATCATGCAAAGCTACTTTAGTAGAGTGATAGTCAAAACATGGAATGGGAAATGAGCAGAACAGTCCTCTTTAATCTTTTCTCAGATTACTTAAAAAAAAACAACTTTAGAAGCAGGTACAAGCCAAATAAGGAAATAATATTTTTCATGTTATCAATTCCACATATAGGAGAAAAAAAAGTTTTGCAACTGGCAAATTATTCCTCCTCACTTTCAATTCATGAGGCCAAGTTTACAGTCTGCACATGCCCCAGTTTAGTGCCTTTGAGGTCTATGTTGAGAATGTGTGCTGTATCCCCTGATGCCCTTCAACGCACTGGGAGCTAGGTTTGTGTGAGGAGGTGTGACCCAGAGTGTCACCCACGTGACCGCGCGGCACCAGGTGGACAGGGTATGTGATGTCAGCGCCAGGTGGGCTCCGTTTCAATAATGCATCATGCCCAGCACTGGCAGGCGCAACACTTTGAAGTGTTCCAGAAACATCTGTAGCCTGAGTTTTTAATCACCTTGCCTGTACCTCCCTGCTTCCTATCAATCCATCTCCACTCCTTCACAGCCCACACCCCCACGCCCACCCCCTTTCTCTGCACACAAATTAACGAGGAGCCTTCTTAGTTCGTGTGCGAATCTGTTTATGTGCATTATTTACATGCGTTAACACACACAGAGCCACCAAGCTGCAAAATCCAATCAGAAGGATAAACAAAATTCAGAAAGAGCTTCTTGTCTTCTGGATGTTTGCTGAATATTCAGTGGAGCAAGAATTATCAAAGAGTTGTGTTAGATAACACAAATTTACCAACGGCCAAAAAGCAATCGGCTGCAATTGGAGCCTCCAACACTCCACAGCATGAGCATACTAATAGTGTGTTGCCAAACAAAGAAACAATTCTGAAATTAAGATATAAAAATGCCTAAGAAAGGTGTAAGATCTCTTTAACAGAAATGATCAGGTTTGATGTTTGATACATCTCTCTCTCTCTCTCTCTGTCTGCTTTGCAGAAATGTGATGAAATGTGCCAGAGAGTAAAACACAGAGGGAGGGAGAGAGATGGATATAGAGAGAGAGAGGTTTACTAAAAAGTGCAACATATTTGATGTGCGGCAAGAGTCCAATAACCTCTGGACGTGACAGGAAGCCCAGACTGCATAATTACTTCACCATACTACCATGTAATGAATAGCTTTATAGGAGAGTCTGACCAAATCAAGAGGGGGCCATAAACACATTAACTCATACCGAATGTGTGCACATAGGAAATCCCTCGCCAACACACAAATTCACTCTCTTGTTGTAGTGTAGCGTTTCCAGCCAGAAACAACTGCCACACAAGCACAAACACATATGTGTGAACTTGCAGCCCTTCAGGGTTGTACAAACTGGTTATTGCCAGCTAGCTGCATGTCAGAAGCTGTTGGTTGCTACTGGACTGGCCAGCATAGAGTGCTTGATTAATTAGAGTGTCATCCACATACAGAGACTATTAGCGATCATCTGCAAACATTACAAAACTGGGGAGAAGAGAGATTAATGAAAGGGCAGTGAAGGTGAACCAAAAACCAAGCACCCAAGGGGAAATAATACAGAATACTCTCTCCACGTCTCAAGCAGATCTCCACCCAAGGACTTCTATAGTGAGGTTTTCATTTCCACACCTTACGTGCAGGTTTGTGGGCATATACGTGCTTTTGTCTGCTCAGGTTCACACAAAAAAAGGTGAATAAAAGGACAAAAGTTAACAGAAGCAGGGTAACTATATACTCAAGAAAGGCTGATAGCTTTGAGAATAACACAAAAAGGCTGGTTACATGTTCACAGCAGGATCACATGTACATATCTGGGGATAAAATATCATAATATATATATATATATATATATATATATATATATATATATATATATATATATATATATATATGCAAATGACTGGTATCACACACATTGATTGAAAAAACACACCCATACACAATCACACACAGACATATGCTCCTCCATCCAGCATGTTCATGTACCATGATCAGTGGTCAGCTGGTGTTCATTTCAAATGTCACCACAGTATGTTAGTTGTACACTGACATGCCCGGGAGTGGAGCCGTGGAGGGAATATTCTCCACAGGGAATAAGCCTCTCTGTTTCACTGTCACACCTCTGCAGTTCCACTGCCCCCTGCTGGTTAAAAATAATAATAATAATTTACATTCTACCACTAGCAGCACCTCTTTAACATCCATCTTCACAATGTTCTAATAATAGGATAAGGAAATGCTGATCGCCCCGTTTTAGTTATGACAATAGACACATTTATACAATTTTTTAAACATTTCCAGACAAAATCTTGGCAGAATAAGTGACGCTCTGTCTCAGATTTTCTCGGCTCTCACACAGTCTCACACATCTCATCTTTCTTCACTGACATCATGAAATCACAACCACACTCATCTGACCCAGTTTGCTTCTGTTTCTCCTCTGTGGTGCTGCAGCCTTTAAGCCCTCAACACTTCAGTTAACAGAGAAATATGCTAGAATTAAGGTGTGCTGCTCTTTCCTATTGTGACTCATGAGAGAGATGATTACATTTTCAATATCAAACAGAAAAGAAACCTTCAATCAAGCCCTATTTTTTTCTTCAATTTTAGAATTAAATACAAAATTTAAGCGGGGGCTGCGACCAATGGTGTTATCTATGAAGGCATGGAGAAATACCTCAGTTTTAAGCACACAACTGCATGCAGCTAGCTACTTGTGCCTTTACAAACATGCTCAGACACAAAGCAGGCATTTCCTCTTTAATCATAGCTTTTTGCCATTACGAAGAATGTAATTGCAGTATTAGAAGCAAACTGTTAGTAATCATGTAGAGGGTTTGGCTGTGCCGTTGGATAATTAGGTTGGCTG